TAACATATATTAGACACACCCAAGCATACTTCTCCATTTCTAAGATTATCTTCCTCTGAAAGAACTTTGCCTCTCCTAACAAATAAGTTGTCAACAGTTTATCCTTTGCAGTTCTTACATCTCTGCAAAGTCGGCTTTGGCATAAACTAGTTACTATATTTTATGGTTATTTAGAGACTCCATTGATACTGGAGCTATGACCTTATAAAACAGAAATGTTCTCACTTAAATTCTCTACATTTTAACAGCTATTATAGGCAGTACAGGAAGTCCTTGACTTATAATAGTTCATTTAATGACTGAAGTTACAATGTCATGAAAAAAGTGACTCATGACCATTTTCACGCTTACGACTTTTGCAGCATCTCCATAGTCACGTGAACAAAATTCGAATGCTTGGCAACTGATTATGACAGTTACAGTGTCCTAGGAAGAGCCTGATCCCTTTTTGCGACCTCCTGGCAAGCAAAGTCAATGAATATAAATTTTACAGGACTGATTTAACCCAAATATTTCCCCAGTTGGCTTAATGTCTCACTTAACAACTTAAATTTTGGAGTCGATTGTGATCATAAGTCGAGGACTACCTGTATTGGCAAGTGCTTGAAAAGTAAATTGGGTAAATTTGTACATATACTTAAGATTCTTACCTAATGGAGCGTTCATACATTGATTTTTTTTTAAAATGTTTCTTTTATAGATGGAATAAGGTTTTTATGATCTCTGTATGGAATAGAATCGCAGCCTATTGGAACAAGACATTCCTTACTATTATAGTTATATTAATTGTTTTATTTCTTGGTAAGTAGAAAAACAATTTTGCATGTTGCTATTAATATGAACAGAATGTGAAAGCAAAAAGTGTTGATTGTATTTACTACCTAAAGATTGATTTTGTTGCAGATGAGGCAATATATGTTACAAAATCAGTTGAACAAGAGGCAAGTGGTGTTTTCTCATTATCTGATAGTAAAACATAAATAAGATTGGCATGAAACATCTATTGAAATATTTATGGCAAGAAGTATTTTTTTTAAAGAATCAGCAGGTGGCACTCTTTCTTTCTACTGTACAGCAGTTACTTTTGAATTTTTATGAGGAAAACTAATTTCTGGAGATGGATTTCTTTAAGACAATCAATGTAGTGGTGGCTAGAAATTTGCATTGCAAGTCTGATCAGATACTATCAGCATTTTGGGTAGTACAATTAAAATATGCATTGTTGGTTAATATTTAGAGAGCATCAGGTTGGGAAAAGCTGTTTTAGAGGACTGTACAAAACTTTTTTGCTAACTTTTATTTTTGTTTAAGGATCATTTTAAAATTATTGCTAAATATTATATTGTTTTTATTTAAGTTACGATGTTTGGTACATTTCTCTCTCTCTTTCTCTCTCTCTCTCTCTCTCTCTCTCTCTCTCTCTCTTTCCAGCAATGTGTGAAAAGCTGGCATTGTATAGCATACCTAGTAAATCTATAGAATATCTGACATTTTTAGTCCATGTACGAAAAGTCTGGTATGTTATTTTAATATGCTATATATTTTCCCTAGGTATTGAATATGATACCTAAGCATTACAAGAACTACAGTATTTAGGCAAAGTATGAAAGGAGAATCCTGAAAAGGTTTACAATTAACCCTTTATTGAAAAAACATATATGAAAATCAAAGAAGAAATGCAAAATAGAGTACAGGACTTTCTTTACTGAAGAAAAAAACTGAAAAATACCAATGTTGGCCTCCTTGTTGTAACAAGTATAGTAGAAATATTTTATACTGTGCCTGTTTGTCTTTTGGCATTGAATAGAATGCGTAGGAAATGTGTGGAATATTAAGTGTTTCTTACTTTGATGTCCCGTTTTTGCCATTCTATAGATTTCTTAGGCATTGTATAAAATGTGAAATTTCACACATTGATGGTAACATACATATATGTGTACGGGGATGCAATGGCTCAGCAGTTAAAGATGCTGAGCTTCGAGAGGAGGTTCCAGACCTGAGCATGCACAATGGGGTGAGCTCCCATTACTTGCCTCAGCTCCTGCCCATCTAGCGGTTTGAAAGCATACAAATGCAAGTAGATGAATAGGTACCTATTTAGTGGGAACAATCTGTGCACCTTAGGCATATAGCCATGCTGACCACCAAAACATCTCCGGACAACGCTGGCTGTCTCAGTCAAGAAATGGAGATTAGCACTGTGCCTTAGAGTTGTACCTGGCTGGACAGGGAAATCTGGAAGGACGGATGGACGGACAAATATATATATAGCCTTTATTATAAAAAATCATCTATTTGAAGTACATAAGTATAAAGTTAACTAAATATTGAAGTGTCCAAGGAAGATTATGTACTTTATATTTCATTTCAGTAGCTATTAATTCTAATGCATTAATATAAATCTTATTTTCAGAGACCCAATGATTAAAATAGGGTATGGGCAATATAGAACTATATTGAACTAGTAAATACCAAGAGGTAATAGAAAACAGGTGCAATTTATATATGTATGTATTTATGCTCCCAGATGCAATAAGAGAAGTGAGGAAATACTCAACTGTTCAATTAAACGAAGATAAACCCCATTCAAGCCTCACCTCAATGGATCACATTCAGATGAAACTCTTTAGATCACAACGAAATCTTTACATATCAGGATTTTCTCTCTTTCTTTGGCTGTAAGTATAAGAATGCTATGGGTCAACATTTTCTAAAAACATCAAATATATGAATTGGATAAAATAAAATAAAGAACAGCAGATGTTCATGGATAAAACTAATACTCTTTCTTAGAATAATACTGTTCTGTTTCAGAAGGCAGTGATAGAACAATTGATTGGAAAGACTGCTCATGCTATATTTAGTTTCTCTGTGTTTGGAAGACTTGCCATTAAATTTCTTGAAAGGAAATAAATCTTCATGCTACTTTCAAGTAAATAATTCTACAGGGGTTTCCATATATTGGCCTGTCAAACATAAAGCTTCTGAGCTGTGCAAGTGGGAGACACGGGCAAGGAGTGCGGATTTTATCCTTCACATTTTTTAATATATTGGATTTTATCCTCATGGATTGAGAATCCTTTGAATTCAACAGCCATTTTATCTATACAGATAATCCTTGACTTAATAATAGTTCATTTAGTGACCAAAGTTACAACAGCACTGAAAAAAGTGTGACCGTTTTTCACACTTATGACCATTGCAGCCTCCCCATGGTGATGTAATCTAAATTCGGATGCTTGGCAAGTGGCATTTATTTATGACGGTTATGGTGCCCCAGGGTCATGTGACCATTTTTTGCCACTTTTTGACAGACAAAGTCAAGGGGGAAGCCAGATTCATTTAACAACCATATTACTAAAGTGATAATTTGCAGGGATTCGCTTAACAATTGGCAAGAAAGTTCATAAACTGTGGCAAATTCATTTAACAACCCCCTTGCTTAGCAACAGAAATTTTGGGCTTAATGTGGTTGTAAGTCAAGGCCTATCTGTACTGCACTCCATATTTACATCTGCATATGGATCAAACCTGTTCAGAATTTGGTTTGCAGACCTAAGCCAAAATTGAAGGTATTAAAATTTCAAAAATTTCCTTCTAAATTTAATGGCAAATGTGTTGTAATTCATCAGGAAGTTTCTCTAAACTTTTAACAAATAACTTCTGGAGCATTTGAACAATTCAGGATACTGCACAGCAGTAAAGTCTGTTTTTTTTTAAAAAAAA